TAAACACGCCCAGAAGTCTTCTCAGAAATATCTCTAAATTTAAGTCTTTATTTCTCTCGACCTCCTTTTGAATAACAACTCTCATAAATTGGCATAGCAACCCTTCATTTGAAGTATCAGGATCATATCCTGCCTGCAAGCAAAACAGCTGACAAAGGATGCAGTCAGCCTCTCCACTTAAGGTTTTATTCTCCCCTGTTGAGTGTATCAGTTAACTTTTGTGGTAAACTTCTGTCAAGATAAAGCAGTCCACACAGTACTTCCATTAGGAGCTTTAGATATATTTCCTTCTGTAAAGACTGTCACTAACATTTTCTGTGATCATTTGTAAAATATCAATTACGTTATGGTAACATGATGAGGCTTAATTCTTCTCCAAGCTCTCTCATAATACACAGTTGACTGTAGAGACAACTATACAGTCTAGTGATTTCGACTCTTGGAAAACTTCCTCTGTGAAGGTAGTTAAAGGTAGTTTAGACAGCACAGCCGAAAAGCTGTACAACTGCAGAAGCAAGCTGTGTTGTCACAAACCTCAGAATAACAGAGCTGTTGAGGGTCATCAAACCAAAGGCGAGAAGAAAGAATAGCCCTGTTTCTAACGTTACAGAAAGACATGCAGTAGACGAGGTACTTCAGCAATGCTGCTTATATTAACTCCTTTTACAGATTATAATAAAGACAGCTCTGAGCAAAACAGCAATATTTAATATTATTTATTCAATAAAAGTCTACTGAATTCAAGAGGAAGGGATGAGAAAGACACCTACAGTACCCTGGTTTAACTTTTTTTCAAAATGCTTATGATGGAATGAGAAAAGGAATAACCTGTATCTAACTGCAGATATGTTAGCAACTAATACCCTTTAATGTCTTGCTTTGACAATTCCTTAGGCTCTTCTCTTATCCAGGATTTAACTACAAGGAGAAAAGGAACTAAAAATTCTTTGGCCCCTCAAAAGTGGAAACAGAGATAGAAAAAGGATAATGTTTACATGATATTTGACCTCTGTCCTAAGTTCATGAAAATCTTTTTGTAGGAGTCAGGAGGAAAGATGAAAGATCCAGTCAAGAAGTGTTTGAGACTCACCTAGGTATTCTGGAAAAAGATGATTTAAGTCTCTCTACTTGGAAAGAGAAGAAAGATCAGTGGTCTGCAAAGGTCTAAAGGCATTAACATAAAATGTGTTTGTTTGTCTGTCAATATACAATATATAATTCAGACATTTAAGTCTCAAAGCAGTGGTAGAGTGCTTTACTCCACAATAAGTTAGAAGTTAACAGACATCTCAAATACACAAGATTATACTAGATAATCTGAAATTACATTTTTTTCAAAAAGACAGAAAGCAGTAGTCAATGAGTTGAAATACTAGACCTTTCCCTGAAAGGGTTAAGGGATATAAAGTAAAGCAGAAGAATGAGGGTTGAATCCAAGTTGGACCTCAAGAGGATTCCAAGAAAGAATTTGCTGTAAAAGTAAGCATATTTTATTCAGTCTAAAATAGCTAAATGGAACATGAAAACATCTCAGCAGGTTAACACAAAACAAGCACAGAGAGAGCACCTTGTGATTTGCTTGTTGTAAAACCATAATTTTTTTCATCTTATTTACAAATTCTTGCAATTGGTAACAGCTACACTGAATGTGTTACAGAGATTTAAACTTATCTTAGCATAGCTCAAGTTAAGAGTGACGACCAGATAAACGGCTAATATACGGCATTCTGGACCCCAGAGAGTGATGCATGATTCATGAATCTAGCTTACTGAAGAACGCACGTGAACCTGAGCTTTCCAGGAAGTTTCCCAAGGGATGACATAAGACAAGCCTCCCACTCATGCTGCATGGCTAGTTCTGAGAAAGAGCATTGGAAAAACGAGAGAAACAAGTATTTTCAAAGGATCAGTGTCAGCTAGTAAAGCCCTAAGTCATGTAGCATGAAAAGAGAGTGTCAGCAAACACCAAAATTCACCAGAGAACAAGCCATAAAAAAGAAACAATGTTCTTGATTACAGAAAGAGCAGAAGCACAGACAGATCTGCAACAGGAATACAGAGCAAATATTCACAAGAGAAAGAGACTATCTGTTTTTCAAGGAATAATGGCCTAGATCCTCAAACCAGCCCTATCACTCACAATAAGCCAACTGACAGCCAGAGGAAGGAAATCAATTTTAAGCATGAAAAACAGACAGAAAGCTGCCTGAAAATGGAAATAGACCTCTCCAGGCTGAGGAAAACAAAGAATGAGAAAACGAAAATTTGCTTGCTTTACTATACATTTGCAGTTTAAAAGTTATATTCTGAAACTACTATGTTATAGACTGTTATGCTGAGTCTGTATCATTCATGGTTTGGACAAAGGAGTAGAGAGAAGGCTTCTTAAATTTGCAGATGACGACAATATGTGTGCTTGGGGTAGATACTTCAAACATACCATAAGACAGATTTGGAACTACAAAAAGTCATGGACACACTTGAGAAATGGCAGATTCAAAAAAAAAAAAATTAAATATGTTCAATAATGGACAAAGGCAAGATCCTACATGTAAAATTTCACAGATAAAATAGATAAGAAAGAGGTGAAAAACCCATAGTACAGCAAAGGAGTTTGGGAGTTACAGTGAATCACAAGCTGAATATGAATCAATCATCTCCTGCTGTTGTAAAAAAAAAAGTAAATACTAAACTGCTATATATTGTTTGAAAGACATGTGAAATACTTCTTCCAGTCTTCTGGCAATGGTGAAGCTTCACGTTGAGCCCTGTGTCATTCTAGAAGGACCCAGACCAGTTGGAAGGAGCTCCTCAAGGAGAATTATCAGGACACAGAACAAACAAAAAAAGAGGATCTGTATGAGGTTATGTTGGGTTTTTTTCTTAGCTGATTTTTGTTAAGTTATATAATGCAAGAGGATACAAGGATAAACACTTTAAAATATATCTAAAGTTTGAATAAAAACATTCCCACAACACATGTTTTCACATTCTTATTATTTCCTTTTTGTCTGTATACAGGTTATGGAAGTTCTGTATTCCTAATGCATTTGTTAAGACTGCTGCATTTTTTACTACTGCAGATCTTTGAAATACTTTTTGTTAATTTGTGAAAAAATAAAAATATATCAAATATTTTGAAAATATCTCCAAAATACAAGTCATTACCATCCACACACAGAGAAACACACATATATAAACATACAGAAAAAGAGCACTTCCCTGTGAGTCCAGGGTCTGTACACAGAATATTCGACAGCCTCAATGACAGGCCCCTGCAGGCTGATAGGGCAGATAATTGCACATAATTGAGATTCCTTCACGTTATTCTTTTGTCTTTTTTCACAGATCTCTTCCTAGTACCAAACAATCCCTAGGTGCTACAGCAACTGCTGACATGGAAAAAAGCCATTAGGAAAGTATTTTATGAACTATCATTGACTTGTGCGTCTTCACAAATAAACTCTAAAAAGGAGAAAACTGTGAGGAACACTATTTATTCACTGACCTCCACTTGGAAATAAAACATTTTAATGGATGTGTGAGGGTGAGTTATAAGTACAGAATATTCTCATTTTGCAAACGGGCACAAATCAGTTCTGCTTCTGCTCTGAGCCAGCCCCAAGCTGTGTGCAAATATCATCCAGGAGCTCCATGGCTCTTCAGTTTCAGCTCAGCACTGCACTAATACAGCCACAAGCAATTCCAGATCAGAACTGGCACCTAATCCAGGAAGATTTGTTACGTCTGCCTGCAGAAATACCTTCTAGGTGTATTTGCTAAAAACCTACTGGACATTGTGAACATAGTCCCTTCTCTCATCAAAAGCTGGCAATGTCTATCTCAAATTTTTCAGAAAAATGCTGGGACCATAAAAGAATCAAGATCAGCTCTCTACTCGGTGAGGACTGATTACAGTACAATTGCTCTATCGTTAGCGCTAGTACACAGAGTTGTATTTTAAGACAGCCTACAGCTCCAGTCCTAAAATAAACACAAATAAAATACCATCGCACTGAGTGTGAAGGAAGACTATGTTCACATAAACAGGCCTCAGAATGCAACTCCGAAGACAGCTCAGTCTGAAGAGATAACATTTGCCTGCTATTTTTGGAGCTTGTTTGCTGCCTTCAAAAGCATGCTTCATCTGCTGCAGCAAACCAAACTATGCAAATGAACATACACGTACCGTTCCAGACACTGTTTATTTTAATTTAACTTTGAATTTCCTTAATATCTTTAAAGATTTAACACCAAAATTGAAATATGGGACCAAGAGAGAGATAATTTTTTTAAGTTACTTGTGTTCAGTTATCGGGTTGGGGGAAGGGAGATCGTTGCTCTTTTAGTTTACACAAAACACAGATTTCTGGGGGACAAAGTCCAGTCTTGCTAATGCATTTTCTTGCTGGAATGAAAAAAAAAAAAAGAACAGTTGATTTACTGGCTGTAACTGTTTGAATCTTATCACTTCGCATTTCTTACGAAGACTCAGATCTGACAAAAAAGTTCTACGTTTACCATTTTGTACGTAGTCCCACCTGTGTTCAATCTTCAACGTAACCTTTATGTGACTAAAAGTCCAGACATTAGACCACCTTTCTAACCCACTGCTTCTGAAACTTGCCTAGTTTTCAAATGAGCGGCCATACTTATTGGGACACAAACATGGGGATTTTAGGTAGTTTAGCCTATTAAAATCAATGGGAATATTTCTGGGCACTTCTGAGATGCCCAGTCAGGTTACTGATAGTGTATCAGCTGCTCTTGGAGTGTGCACGTGTTCATTAATATGAATGAAGCAAGGAGTAAATAATGTTGCAAAAAATCTGAGAATGATACTGTTTCTATTATCTCCCTGAAAAGGTTTTATTCACTTTTTAAGGCAGGCTGTCAGACATGCTACGACAGTTATGAAAAGCTCTTTTGTTTACTTTACTAGTAGCAGAGACAAGCAAACCACCTTCACTGAAAAGTCTGCAATATAAAATTCATCCTACCTTTAGCTGTACTAGATGCACATCCACATGTTTGCTATCCGAGTCCTGCTGGACAGAGTAGGTCAGATCCCTGACTCTTTCAGACGTCATCCGAAGCCAGGTCTCAATTTCTGGCAAGTGGAGAACAATCTTCCAGTCGGCCCCAGTGTGTAGAGGAGGAGGCTTTTCATACTGCTGGCCAGAATCAAGCTCCTTCATGACGTCCCCTTCCCCATCTTGTTCCACTGTAGGAGTCATGTTTATAAGCATGGGAGATGCATCAGACGGCATGGGATCCAGTTCTTGTGTCCTCATGGGAGAAAGTGCTACATCCATGGCTAACATTGGAAAGTCTGAACCATAATTCTTTCCAAAATAGCTGCAAAGATAAAAAGAAAAGAGACTGCTGTTATGAGCCCAAATTTTTTAACAAAAATGTTCACAAGACAAAGAGTAAGTGGCAATATCTGAAAGGTATTGTACTTCTAAATAAATTCTTCACTTTGCAAGTCTACACTAGAAGTTCAAGAATAAATAGATTTTTCAAATTAACTTTGTTGATTTAAACAAGCGAGCTCTTTGTCTGAGGAGAATAACAAATAACATTTCTCTCACTGTAGGCAATCACCTTGGAAATGGCAGTTTTCATTAACAACAAATATGTTCTGATTTTCTACAACTGCAATGTAAATAAAGCGAGCATTGACAAAACTAGCAGAACTTTACTGAACTCCATGACTTAATGCAGGTCTGGTATCTGTAAACTAGCACATATTAGAACATATTCCTTGGCCTGCAATTTGTGACTAAACAAAAAATATCTCAAGTTTTATACAAATTCCCCAACCGTCCACTTGAGTATTGATCACATACAAAAAAATTTTGAAGGCAAATTTGAAGCAAATATTAGGGACACTTGATGGATCTATTGTAGGTGGATTTCAGTTTTGAAGTTTAAATTCTTGTAGTTTTGTTAGATTAAAAACTCCTGCAATAAGCAACAACTTTCTCAAAACTTAGAGATAAGAATCCCAAATGTCAAGATATGTACCTAAAATTAAAATATCATTTTATAAGTGACTATTAAAACCCAAAAGCTGTGTCATCCATATACACTTACAAGGTTCACTGGAAAAAGTAAGTAAAACATTTTACTTTGTACCTCTTTCTCTGTACACCCTACCTGTACGTAATACAAAAGACTGCTGTAAACCTTATGCCCAAGAAAAAAATACTCTACTTAACAGCATGCACCTAGTTTGGAGATAAGTACCTAAAGCATTATGAAAACTTTCATTCAGTAAAAGATGTATTTTTTACCTAATTTTGGAGAGACTCAAATTTGACACATGCCTGTCTTTGATACACAACTTCACTAAACCTTATACCAGTACTTAATTTTTTCTTCAATATTTTGCAACCCTAAGCTATATTCAGTAAGTCTACATTCAGAAAATTAGGAAGATTAGGTCCTTTTAGAGCTGTTTTAAATTTGTTTTAACCAGTGCATATTAGAAATACTTCAACCACATTTTGATAACTTTTGCTGGTATTCCTTTTCCATAATGATAAGGCTGCAAATAACTCAGTTATGCAGCTATTAATTTGGGCAACATTTCAAGCTTTGACAGTTTTATTTTCTTTTCTATAAAGAGTGCATTTTAGCTTTTAACATAATATCTGTAAGATCGCAAAAAAAGAAACCAGTGCCTTTCACTATTAAAGCAACTACACTATGACTACTGAGTTATATTTCTGAATGTTTCAAGTGGGGTCTCAGCATCCAAAGAAGACAACTGCAGGCAATGAGAGTACCAAAGAAGTATCCAAACACCAGTCTACTTCTCATAGACAGGAAGGACAAAAAAGTTACATTTAATGTTCATTTTATTTCCTATCTTGCCACTACTTAGTAAATTATCTTTTGCGCATCTATCACTCTCAGAAAACAACATTTAGAACTGATATTAAGCTAGTAAATATTAATCTGGCTCTTCATAACAAAATTTTCTATCAATGCGATGAAGGGAAGGGAATGAAAGAAGATTCCAATCATTCTCACTACCTGCTGTAAAATTTCCAACTCTTTCAGTTACATTTCTGAAGTATTCAGAATTAAATGGTGCTATATAAAAAGCTCTGCCGCAAGACCATATGAAATTAACATTTCAGGATGCTGAGTATTTTTCAAGTTGATCGCTTTTCACTGCTCATTTTTTCACTTAAACTCTGTTGCCATATAGACTCAAAAATACATTGTTAGACAAATCACTCAATTTGAAAATATTTTTGTCTTAGACACTGCTGCTCATAGCCCCAGTTTTAAAGCATATAAACTGTTCTAACAACCCAAACTATCTTATTGCTTCAAGTATATTCTTTACATTATTTCCTCCTGAAAATGAAATTTTAGGGAAGTCCTTGTGGCCTCTATTTCTGCATGTTTATTGTTAACAAATTAAACATGCCTACCAGCAAAAGAGTTGGTCCTGAATCACTAAATGATACAGAAACACAGGAAGTGCAGCACTTGCTTATTAGTTTTTCCACAAAAAAAAATGTCACTCTGCAAGAGTTTTTCAACATGACTCAGCTCTAGTAAGGACATTAAAGCAATTGGCAAACAGAAATTAAAACATTCTCCTGCAGAAGCAAACAAAAGCTAGTCCATGCTGCATGCAGAGCATAGCTCTAGTTTCCATACACTGAGTTTGCAATTAGCAACCATTAGGAACCTGCTGACCTGTTTTTTGTTACGATGTGCTTGACTCTATATACTGGCTCTCCGGCATTACAGCTAATGCCTCCTTAATCCTAGTTGCTCTTAAAGTCAAGTCCTTTGAATCCTTTTCTTTCTGCCAGATCACAACAAGATGCAACACTTCGAGTGAGAATAGATCATTCTTTTCACATTCTTGAAAAAAAAAATTCCCACAAAGGCAATAAAACACACTGTGGATAATAATTAGCGAGGTCTGGGAAAGCTTTAAAAAGCCCACAAATGCTTGAAAGGAGAAACTGTTACAGCTAGAAATGACTGAATCCAAGCACTAAGACACAGATTCATTAAATTGTTTCTTAGCAGAATAAAAAGGCATCATCATCCAACTGCACTGCACTAAAGGAAAACTGAAAGGTTCTCCTGCACTCTCTGAGAAAGCTGGCTCTGAAGAGGCACGTTCACAGGAGTGCTCCTAAAATCACTGGAGAAACGGTAAGCTCCACCCCGCTATCCCTCCCCCAGCTCCTCCGCAACTGTGGCAAAGCAACGTAATTCCCCTGTCGCGCCTGCACTGACCTATGGAACGCGCTGGCAAGGCGCTGAGAGCACAGGCTTCAGTCACTCTCGGGCAGTGGATATGCAAATAGAAAAAAAAAAAAAAGGAAAATTCCTGCCACAGAGGTGCTTTTACAAAGTTCTAATACTGAAATACTAAATAGCAAACAAGGCCCAGCAGCAACAACAGCAAAGCTCACAGACATATCTACTTTAGGCAATATAGGAGTTACAAAATTTGCCAAAACACTTTTGATAGGAAGTAGGTTCTGTTTCTTGGATTACTGACCACATGCAAGTTAGACTTCCACATTTCTAAGTAAGTCAGCAGTCTTGCAGAGGACTGCATTCATAAGTTTTGTTAAGACAGCAGCTACTAAAGATGAGTAAATTAGCTCCTCTCCACCCCATTCTCATATGGACACCTGCATCTATTGTCATCTAGCTGTAGCCTTTCTCCTCCAATATTTAGGATATTACTTTTGTACTGAAACATGGAAGGTGGAAACAGCAAGATGGGGCATGGAAATCTTTCTTCAGCAGTTCTACTATTTGCATTATGTACCACCAATGACATAAATTTCAGCAAAATCAATTCTAATTCGAAATTTGAAAAAGTGTATTTCAGAACAATATTCCATGTACCCAAGCTGTCATTTAGTGGATTAAAACTTTTACTAAAAAAAGATATGAATAGATGATCAAGTTAAACAATACTTGGGTGTCATGTATGGTGAAGTTTGATATTTTAAGTGATTGATTTTAAACACTGGCCTTAGAGTTTGTTTTATATCCAGAGCTTTTTTTTTTTCCAGATTTTGTGAGATGTATAGATAATGAATTGTAAACCACTATAATGTGTTAGAACACATATTTAAACTGATTATATTTCTTAGAATTCCTCTTTACACACTACCACGCAAAAGTAATTTTTTTAAAGAGGTGAAGTGATTTGTTTCCTTCTAAGCAGGACATCTATCGCCACTGAAGTTCTTTATAAAGGTGAAAAGCTAAGCTCAGTCTTACTTTCTACATTACAAAATCCTGGTACCATTAATGACAGTTTTAGGTGGGTGAGCAATGCTACATCAGACTCTAGCTTTCTTCTAAATCCAATCCTTTCTGTACCTGGAATAGCTGTATAAACTAGATGATTTTAAATTTGCAGGTGAACAGTTGAAAATACATTTTCAAATGTCCTGATCAATAAAAAGTTCATCTCAGTATTTTCAGGGCATGGCCATATTTTCATCATTACAGTCAGAGTGAGAGACAGTTATGATGCCATTATTTAAAAAAAAATGCAGCTCAAATTATTTGTTTCTGTCACTTCTGAAACCATTATTTCAGTCTGCTGACAGGACACATTTATGAACTACACAACATAGCTACAAGCTTGTATTCTTTCTGGTGGGAAGAAAAAATAGATGAACCGAGAGTAGTTTTTTGCCTTGCATTAGTTCTTTATATACAGTTCTATGTTTTCATGGATACTTGTATAAAAGGTGAGAGATCCTGTGTAAGCACATGCACACATATGCTTTCTATCTTCATCTTTAGTAAGTGCATTATGCCTAACAGATGGCTGATTACCTTCCACTAATCACATAGGCAATCTCGCTTTCCCCTGGTTTTCCGCTCAATCAGATGTTAACGGTTTTATGCAAAACATAGAACGTGTGTGTCAACCGTAATGTAGTTCATCAATCACCACAAGCCTTGAAAGACTTCTCTCACTCATTCTGCTCCCCAATTATTCACATTGTCCTTCTTTATAAAGTGCAGGCCGTATTCACTCTGCCAGCTATCAGATCATCCACGTTTTCCTCCAACAGCAGTTGGTTCCTGTCAAATAAAGATTCATTAAGCGTTTTAAGCCATACAGTAGTCCAGGCATTGATCAGTGGTGCAGACACTGGGTCGAGTGAATGTTAATAAGCTCTAATTTTTCTTACTGTCACATATTGTTAAAATCAGCCATAAGCACTATACAGCCACCTGTCTGTCAAGTAAACAATTCATTTCATTCTCCAAAAGGGCCGAAAAAAACCCAGAGAAACTCCATCAT